TTTTAAAATCGGACCGGACCGGCCGGTTCAACCAGTTGAACCACGAATCGGCCGGCCGGCCGGTTATGGTTGGCATCAAAATGTTTTAGCGTCGAACCGGCGTTGGACCGGTCGAATTGCTTGTTCGACCGTTGAACCGACAAACCGGCTCCAGTTTCGGATAACCGGACGGTTCGGGCAAACAGGTATTTTGTACCGTTGGATTTGCTCATGCGGTTTGGATGAATCAAGCTGATATTAAAACAAAAAAAAATCCTACTGTTCACATTCGTTCGGCTTCTTCTTCTTCCCGACGTTCCGGTCCACTCCACTTTTCTGAATCCCTCTCTCTTTCGCGAAGCTGAGTGACGACTCGTTTCTTTCTCAAAGCCGACCAGGAATCGAAGCTCCCTTTCGTGCTCAAGTTATCTTCTCCAACCACTGTGAGTTCTTCACATGCTTCTCCTTCTCGGCTTCTCCTTGCATTTGGTAGTAGGCCAAACTTTCTTCTCCTTGCATTCGGGAATATCCAATAAAATGCAATATAAATTTGCAATTTCAAAATCTTTACTCTTTAGTGTTCTCTACATCAACAAATGCATGAGATTTGTGGAGCAGCAAACACTATCTGTATCTGCTCTATTTTTAAACCGAAATGACGAAATCTCTTAAATTGTTTTTTGATTTTTTTAAGTTCTTATCTTATGAAGGAGAGGCTGTGCAAATTAAATATAGTGGAGAGGCTGTGCACGACGGGCTTGTAGAGAGAGAGAGAGAGAGAGAGAGAGAGAGAGAGAGAGAGAGAGAGAGAGAGAGAGATTGTGTGAGAAAGAGAGTCGAGGGACACCATATCTCTCTCTATCTATATCTGCTCAATTTAGTTTTGAATCTTTTGATAGCTTTCACGCTATATAAAATAAGGGAAAGAAACAGTGACTATAGAGTAAATTTCTCATAAACTGGACTGAAGTTTCTATCTTATTCATATATGATCTTCAATCTTCATCTCATATTCTCATTTGATGTTTTTTATGGTATCCTTTTTACACCAATAAGCATTTCTCTTTAGTTAGTTACTTAGTTGGCTGGTAAACATTCCTATTTGGTTGGATAACATATGCAGAGTAATATTTTATTATTAGAAGATCAAAATCTTTGTTGGCTAATCTCCTTAAATAATAATCTTCTAATATTTATTTTTATTTGTTGCTTAAATTTGGCTTCTAAGATTTTGTTGATAAATGCCAAAATAGAGTTGTTAAATTTGTTATTCTAACTGATATTATACTCATTTATTGTTAAATTTGTTATCTTCAATCTTCTGCCGATAATTTGTTGTTAAACAGTGACCTATAGAGCATTCAATAGGATCCCTTGCTTGTTTAAACTGCATAAGATATTTCATGTATTATTGCCTTTCTTCTCTGAAACAAAAAAATGCAAAACACAATATCTTTCCCTTAAGGCTTCATTGAATTGTGTGATACTTTTGTCTTTCTTAGTATTATTACTAGGTTTTTCCAATCATTGAATTGTGTAATATTTTTGTCTTTCTTATAGGTTGGTGACTTTAGGTTGTGGTGGAACTTCAAGTGATATAAAATTTCGGCTCTTTGAGGTATGCATTGTGTGTTGATTTAGCTTTGTGATTTTTTAAATTGCATAATTTTCAAAACTTTTCTACCTTCCATTATTTTCTACGTTATACTTTTTTACTTTGTAGTTTTCTACTTTGCATGGTTTTAATTTATTTGTATGTGATTTTATTTGGTAAATCAAATTAGAATGGAAGCACCTAGTAATCAGACTTCAAATTCAACTTATGTTGTGCGTGAGAAAATAGATATTGCTTGGAACTATTTTGCTGAAGTTAAAGGACCTGATGGGAAGAAACAATTTAAGAGTCTACAATGTGGTATTTCATACAAGGGAGGAGGAATTAATAGAATGAAACAACATTTAGCAGGTGTAAAGGGGAATATAACTACTTGCAAAAAGGTTCCAGATGATGTTAGATATCAAATGAATGAAAACTTGAAGGAAATTATAAGAAAAAACAACAAGCACAGGAAGAGTTAGACAGTACACCATTTACTGTGGATGATGCTATAGATGAAGAGAGAGATTCTTGCTCGCTACCAAAAACATAATCTTCTCATGCACATGTTTCAGAACTTAGTAAGGGAAAAAGAAAAGCTTCTGATATAGATACATTCTTTGCTCCTAGAATTACACGAGGTGCCCAATCTTCAATTAAGAGTGCTTTAGCATCTAAGGAAGTAGTGCACCGTGCAGATATGGCTTTAGCAAGATGGTTTTTTTATTTTTGTATTCCTTTTAATGCTCTTACTTCAATATATGCACAGAAAGCTGTTGATGCTATTGCTGCAATAGGTCCTGGTTATAAGCTCCCCAGTTATCATAACATGAGAGTCAACTTACTTAGGGATTGCAAGGAAGAATGCAGGCTACTCATTGATAGTTATAGACAAACTTGGAAGGAAACATGTTGTACACTTATGGCAGATGGATGGACTGATAGTAGGAGCAGAATTTTAATCAATTTTTTGATATATTGTCCACGTGGTATAGCTTTTTAAAAATAAGTTGATGCTTCAGACATCACAAAGGATGCTACCACTTTATGCTCTTTATTTGCTGAGGTTGTTGAGTGGGTTGGTTAAGAGAGTGTTGTTCAAATAGTTACTGATAATGCAGCTAATTACAAAAAGGCAGGTCAACTATTACATGAAAGATTCAATAATATTTACTGGTCTCCTTGTGCCGCCCATTGTATGAATTTAATTTTGAAAGATATTGGCAGTATGCCTCTTATAGAGGACCTAGCAAAAAAAGCATCAAAGTTGACAATTTTTTGTTATAATCATATTTTCATACTTGCATGGCTTAGGAAAAGGCCAGGTTGGAAGGAGATCGTACGTCTTGGAGCAACTCGTTTTACAACATTTATAAGTTTGAAAGTGTGCATGAGCATCATCATGACCTACAAACACTTATCACAAGCAAGTTCTTTGTGGATTCAAAGATATCCAAAACTTCCAAGGGAAAAGAGGTATTTTCAATTATTTTAGACTTGAACTTTTGGGATAACTGTCTTATTATTTCAAAGATATCAGACCCTTTGATTAAATTATTGCATATTATTGACTCTAATGAAAAACCATATCTTGGATATTTATATGATGGCATTTATAGAGCAAGAAAGATAATTAAAGCTATGTTCAGAAATGTAAAGAGATCATATAAGCCTTTTACTACTATAATAAAAAGAAGATGGGATACTCAATTAAGACAAGGCATCCATGCAGCAGTATATTTTCTCAATCCTCATTTTCAGTATGATAGAGAGAACTATTGTCAAAAGCCAGGAATTTTTTAAGGTTTAGTTGAATTAATTGGAAATAAAGATATTTGCTCTAAGCCCACCGTTGCAATGAATGAAGTCAGATTATTTCATGATGGCTTAGAAAGCTTTGGAAAACCAATTGCACTGATAATGACGAAAGAAATGCAACCTGGTAATTCTCTTTTTTACTTTCAACATGTGTATATATTTATACAAATATGCTTATTCACTAAACTCTCAAACTTGATAATATGTAGATGAGTGGTGGAAGATGTTTGGATCAAGTGCTCCAAGCTTGCAGAAAGTTGCTATAAGAATTCTCAGCCAAACATCATCTTCATCAGGATACGAAAGAAATTGGAGTGTTTTTGAACAATCCACTCAAAGAGACAGAATTATTTAGAGCATCAACGACTCAACGATTTGTATATGTTTGATATAATTTGAATTTTAAAGAATAGGTATGATCTAACATTAAATTTATGAACAAGTGTCAATTTAAGTAGTATGTTAATCTTAACATAAAATTATTTATTCATTTTTTAGGTTTCAACTTAAAAAAAGACATTATGATCCTCTGGACTATACATGTGTTGAAATGGTTGATTTTTGGATACTTGAAGATGAAACAACTCCAGAACTTGACTTATAGGATTTGGAAAATGAGATATATAAAGAGGATGCAATACAAGTTGTTGAAGAACAAAATATATCATTTGATAAGCCAGGACATTATAAGTTGACAATGAAATTGAATATTTATTTAATTGAAAGCAAAAATAATATCTTTTTTATATTTCTTATTTGTTGGTGAAGGTATTTTAGAGAATGAAGGAGATGTAGGAACATAACCGGGCTGATCAATCAGATGCATTTGAGTTTGAACATTTTGTGAATCAAGACCTGGAGACTAACTTATATAGATAGATTTGATGATGCTAATTTAGGAGATCTTTTGAAACTATTGAATTGGAGAAAGTGAACTTTGATTTTAATTATGAATATGTTATGTTTTTGTTATCACTTGGTATAAAGTAATTTTGCATCTTTTTATGATTGGTTGTGTCTTCAAGTGAAAAATATTGTTATGTTTTTCTTAATTATTACCAAATGCTATTATATTTGATTCATATATGGAACTTGTTTGATTTACTGATTGTTATGTTTTTGGAACGAAAAATAGATGTGATTATGCTTTTAGGAACTATTGGTTTAGCATTATCTATGGTAATATAGTTTTTATCCTTTAGACTTAAATGTTTGAATTTATTTGACTAACATTTCTCTATAAGATAAGTAAAAGTATTATAATTTTTTTTTTCAATTTTTGTTATATATTTATAAATGTGTGTCATTTTTATAATATTTAAATATAATAAATATTTATTACGTCATCCAGTTCGACTCCGATTCGACCCCGATCGAACCATCAAACCTCTAACCCCTCCTTCTTCCGGTTCATTGACCGGTCCGGTTTTAAAAGCCTCTAAAAAAAAGAAACGCCAATCCTAAATTTAACGTTATGCCTGAGTCTGGCTGTAAGAAAAATGATTTTGACCGGGTCAAGTATCGTCGGGTTGACACAAGTCAAGATAAATATCGGAACTTCTCACTTTCCACGTAAGCATCTAACATAACTCTCTGAACGAATTCCACCCAGAATAATTTCTCCTCACGACAGTTGAACTTTATCTCCAAAAGCACAGCGCGTTGAACGCAAAATCTTAAATAGGTCAAAAATAGCATAGAAATTTGCTCTCCCTCGACAAACTCATCAAACCCTAGCCCCAGACGAGCTCGGTCCTACTTCTTCTTACTCGTCCGCCGGTTGCTTTACTCACCGGAAAATAAGAAATCCAAATGCTTCCGAGCAGTACACGCCGTCTATTTCCGTTCCGAAGGCCGTCTCCAAATCACCTTAGTACCATACTTTGCAGCTTACATCATGCAAGTGCCCTCATTCGGCTCTTCTCCGTCTCAGCTGAGTGCTTCACTATGCTTCAAATGTTGTGGACATGAGCAGCTTGATGTTTCAGTGCATCAGTGCAGTTGAAACTCGGAACTGACCAGCTTGGGCACCTGGTAATGTCTCCTGAACTCAGTCACGTCTCCTTTCCCACCATACTCATTTATTTTCTCTTTCTTTCAGTTTCTATCGCAAACCGTCTTCTTTTTGGTTTTCCACCTTCAAACTTGATGGGTCTTTCTGTTTCGCTAAGTTACAGGACCGTGAGAAACAATGACTGGAGGACACGGTTTAAATCTACAATTAAATGCAAAATCTACTCAGACCTATTAATTTTTGCCTAAAGCTTTTTATTTTAGAAGTGTCCAAGCTGGTGTCGTACTTTACAGCTTACATCATGCAAATGCCCGCATTTGGCTCTTCTCCATCTCAGCTGAGTGATTTGTTACGCTTCAAATGCTGCGGACATTAGCAGCTTGATGTTTCAGTGCATCAGTGCAGTTAAGATTCGGAACTTACCAGCTTGGCAACTAGTAATGTCTCCTGAACTCAGTCCTGCCTCCTTTCCCACCTTATTCAGTTATTATCACTTTCTTTCTGTTTCTATCGCAATCAGACTTTATTTTGGTTTTCCGCCCTCAAACTTGAGGGATCTCCCTGTCTGGCTAAGTTACAGAAACGTGAGGAACAAAGAGTGGAGAGCACAGTTTAAATTTCCAACTACATGCAAAATCTAGTCAGACCCATTGATTTTCTCCTAAAGCTTTTTATTTTAGAGGTAAGATGTTTTTTCGTTGGGGGATTTACATACATACCAATATGCATCTTCCTATTTATATATCTTACATCCAAAACTTTAATATTTCAGGCCTACAACCCATAAATCAAATATGACTTTAAAAAAAGAAATATTAAAGTTTATAGGTGGTATGAGTGATATGAATGAAATATATGAATGACATATTTGACATTGAAGTTTTCTATGGATGGTAGACATGAAATATTAAAGTTTTGAGTGTTAAATATGTAAATAGCATGACATAAAGTGGTATGTATGTAAATGCTCATTTGTTGCTGTTTTTTTATTATTTTAGCACTAACAGGCAGCGCCACAGGGGCAACTAGTGAAACCTGTTACCAACTATAGTCAAATTAAATTAAATATTCACTTTTTCCTTCAAAATATTGTGTGCACCCTTGGTATATTGCTTGTAGCCTGCATAAAGGGGAAAAAAATGATGTTTATGGAGATTTCAGCAATCAGCGGAAGAAAAATACTACAGTGATCCCCTTTAACACAGATAAATAGTTCAGTTAACTAAATAGAGTCCTATGAAGAGCATGACTGGAGATATAATTCTGAGTTGGCATTGGAGGATTCAGATTCACGAGATTGTTGGTAGGAGTGTGGAGCTGTTGAGTTGTTTCCTTTTGTTTTTTTGTTGGAAAGCACATTTTTTTTCTATTTATTATTCTTAAATTATGTTACTGTTAATAACTCTACACATAATAATGGAAATAACAAAAAATGTTTTGCCCAATCACCTTTACAGATCATTTCCCTTGCTGCAGCTCAAACAAAACTACTTCTCCAAGCATAATCACAATCACAATCACGTGTCCTTAACTTCAGCTAACTATTGCTGTCACATCTTATATAAAACAATGCTACACCTTCTATGCATCCAGAGAAATATGAGTAGAAGATCTATTCTTCTTCACCTACATTTATTTATTCTCTCTAATTACATTGTGGCGGTTTTACTCTTATGTTATCTTGTATCAATGCTCTTACCTAGTGGCATCCCACTCCCCCCATCTCTTTTCTTTGCTGCAGCTTCATGGACCATTTAACTACCTCAACCACAAACAACGATAACAACCATGATCACACTCCATTTAAGATTGGTACAATCAATGTTTAAAATTGCGTATTCGGGTATTGAGGCATTTTTCATTCGTGAGGCGAGGCGTAAGCCTCAAGGTGTAAGCCTCAAAATCAAAAGATTGCCTAAACATATAATGATAAATTTTTTATATACTAATTAGTGAATAATATAAAACATAAAAAGCATAAGATATGAAGTCAAATCAAAATATCTCAATAATAAGACAACATGAAATATAGTTCAACTCAAAATTCTATCTTTCCCAAATCCTTATTCTTTTCATTAACATACAATTCCAATTTCAAAAAATAAATAACAATGACATATCACATAAGAACTCATAGGTCATCAGCATTGTCATCACTAAGGGGTTCTTCGTTTTAATCATCATTATGGTGAATTGCTCTCTCCCCTCCTCCTCTCCTATAGAGTCCAATGTTGGGCATTTACTTCAAGATTTATGTAAGTTTTAATATATATAGCGTGAGGCGAGGCGGGCCTCAACCAAGTTGAGGAGCAAGCCTCATAAAAAAAATTCGAGGCGTAAGCATCGAGGCGTTTTTTAATGGAATTGCGCAAAGGCGGGCTTCAAGGCGAGCCTCATATTGCGGAATTTTAAACCATGGTTACAATCACATTCCCTCCCAACTAAAGTTGCATATCGACAACTTCAAAAATATTATCAACACAAATTAGAGCTGGGAATGGCCCAATCTAGAGGTCATGACTCCTCAAACTCTTTCGAATGAATAACTTTGATGGTTATCTTGATGGATCAATGCGGTTAGGCCAAAATCATAGTCGGTTATGATGGTGCTCTATTAGCATCCTACACTGTTACCACTGGATCCTTATTGATTAAAATCTAGCTTTAGCCTAAATGGCCATCCATACAAGTTTACATCCTATAACTTGACTCCTATTATTACATCTTGAAAACCATGGAACGCTAAAGTTGACCAATATGTTATATATTATCCACCTTAAAAATGAACTCTACCATATCTCTATGGAAGATCAATCCATGCAATTGCACCTATTAATCAATAAAAGCCAAGGTAGGCTTCATTGTTGTTATCATAGCCATCCTTGATCTAGAAGATGCCATACTTTATATGTTTGACAGGACATTGCTACAACTACTATCTAGCCTTTGCAAATGCAAAGTTTCGTGCTTAAGCTTACACTCGCTACTCAATTTCTAATGGAACGTTAATTTGTCTACGATATAAGTCCTTTTTTAACTGTAGTGCACATGTCGTATCAAATAGAATAATGATGAAAAAGAGTGTCAAACCCACGAGGACAGCCTAGAAATATCATACTACTACCGCTTACTAGACTGCTAAATCTATATAGTTGAATGATTTAAAAATGTTATGCAGGTTAAAAGTAAAAGTAAAATGGAATGAAAAAAAAATTATCTTATCAAATTCCCCCAAATTTTAAGATATTTCTTTTCCTCAAATAATTAAATTGCACTGTGATAAAAAAACTATCTTTTGTACTAAGTCTAAATTTTGAAATAAAATTAAATTAAAAATCTAAGTATTTATATAATACATAAATTGGAAGATTTTCCAATAAAATAATTTATAACATCATGATCCCTCATTTTAAATTAATATACTTTCTAATATGAATTTCTATGGTGAATAATTTTGAGTGGCTTACTTGGGTTTATTGAATTTTAAGAATTAATGAAATTATTCATTTAGTTAATCATCAAATCATCTTATTAACTTTCTTTAAGTATTAGGATTTCAATAATTCTTTCTAGAAGTACAAAAGTAGGGCTAGACATTACAAGTACTAATTTTTTGATATTTAAGTATTAAACATTTTTAATTTTTTCTTTTTTTTTTATTCGGCTAAGTACTTAATAATGATTTTGAATGGATATCTACTACTATATTTTTAAACAGGAGTAGATATTGCAGATACTAATTTTTGATATTAAGTTATTTAACCTTTTTCATTATTTTTCATTTTTTTCTTTTTATTTTCTAAAATAACTTATTTTGGTGTTGAATATTTGTCTCTTACATCCTCATAATATACCAATCTAAAATTTGTTAAAAGTTTCATAATACCGTAAGTACACGCATTTAGGTGATTTAAGATTAATATAAAGACTTAATTTGCATTAATCATAAAGTCAATATTCCTTTATAAATTGTCAAGTTCTTAAATGAATTTTACAAATTTACTTATCTTAAATTACTTAATTTTTAAAATGAAAGGATTAGTTGTTATATTGTAACTAGTAACTATTTCATTAGAAAATTTTTGCAAGCTGTGTACTGTTAAATACCTAAAAATATTCTTGGCGGATCATCAAGGTTGGAGCTTGTCACTTGAAGCCGATCGTTAGATGGAATGTATTTGCTAGTACTCATATTGATATTATGAAGGACATCTGGTTGCTGGATAGATGACTTGAGAAATGGCCTGCCACTTGCAATTTGACTGATTTACGAGACAAAAAGGTGTGTATTCTTCTTGATGATGAGAAAAATTGGGATATGACGGTTTTAAGAACTTATTTTTCTGAAGACATGATAAGACATGATAAGACTTATTGTGAATACTCCTATATCTATTGAAAAAGAAGAAGATGAGTTGGAGATGATCATTTCAAATTCTGGCAAATCGATTACTGCTTTGGTGTATGAAGCTAATTCCTCTATCCAGCAAAACAACTTGATTGATTTGAAGTGGATGAAAAAATTGAAAATCTCTATCAGGGAATATCTATTTTGGTGGAGATTACTTAATAATGCATTGCCTATTAATGAATGGTTGTATAAGAGAAAGCTGCAAGAGAATCTCTGCTGTCCGAGAGGATGTAATGCAATTGAAGATTCAGAACATATTTCCATTCAATGCACTAAATTATATGTTGTTTTAGACTTGCTGAGACGATGGGGGATTAATTTACCTAAGTTCCATAGCTTATCCCAATGTCATGAAGACTTGAAGGAAGGAATTGGATTGAAGCCATGCCTTGCTAGAATCTATATTGCTGCTGTCTATCAAAACTGGAAATCCAGAAATTTTGTTAAACATGGTAAACCATGTCCTGTTGCTTTGATTGTTGCTGCTAAAATTCTTTCATCCAATTCATTTTTGCACATGTTTCCAATTGAAAAGAGCTGGGATATTAATCAACAAGAGCTGTTGAATACTTGGTGTCCCGCACTTAAAGATTGGATCAAGCTTAATGTGGATGCTGCTTTAACAAAGTCCAATATGGCGGGCATAGCAGGCGTGTTAAGAGATTGCTAAGGCAGATTTCTTTGTACTTATGGGAAGCAAGTTGTTCATTGGGACGTTGCATACTTGGAGTTGGTAGCTATACTTAATTTCAAAATTTTTTTAAAGCATTGGATGTCGGTCAACATTGGGATTATTATTGAAGGAGATAATGTGAATATCATAAAGTTTCTTCAGAATTCCATGAAGATGTCTCCTCGAATAAGAAGAAGCAAATATTGGATATTTCTTTTCTTGAAATGTTTAAGAATGTTATTTTTCATTTTGTACCTAGAAAATGTAATAATGTGGCTGATTTTTGTTTACATCATGCCATATTGGGGGATTACTATTGGGATCCTTTTTTGGGTAGTGAACTTCCATCAACATTTGTTTAGTTGATTAGGAAGGATTGTGATAGGCTTCTTGTTTCCTAGTTGATTGTATCTTCTTCTTTTTTGTTGATTAATGCAATTTGCTAAGCTTAAAAAAAAAACCTAAAAATATTCCCTTTAACATTTTTCAAAAGTTATAACTAAAACAAAAAGTAAAATAATAATACAAATAATAAAGAAAAATTTAGAGAAATTTTAATTTCATTAATTTTTTTCAAATTACCAATTTATTCCAGAAA